TCCCCAACATCCTACTCACTATGTATCGGACCGTGACGACAACCAGCTGGTTTGTAGACCGACTCATCCAGCGCTATTTGGCAGTGGCCCCGGTGGAACCGGGTGGACTGACCACCACATGGGACGAGGCCCTGGCGACAGCCGGTTTTCTCATGGACTTGGTGAGTGCCTTGCCAACAAGCATTGCAATGGCCATTGTCTACGCATCTTTTACTCCAAGCATTCTGTCACCATGTCGGTTTGAATAGAAACCTATTACTCCCAGGTCGCTAGGGGGGATTTAAGGATTGATGGTGAAGTTTACTCCTTGATGAAACAAATAGGCCTCAGGATGCGATTGAATTTCACTTGGCCTTGCTTCGAAAATAATTTGCTCATCCAGACTGGACTGCTGCTCCATCGCCACCATCAACACCACCACCACAACTACCATCATCATCATCATCATCTTCAACACCATCGCATTCACCACCACCCTCATTGCCCTCATCAACAGCACAATCTCAATCATAGTAATAATAAGCATCATCATCACTGATCATACACACCTAATGGGATTCTAAATCAGTTGGTTTGCGCAAAGTGTCAACATGCTCCACTCCACTCCACATCCACAGGCGCCTCGGAGTCACCGGGCAGATGCGACTTTCAAGACAAGCCAGGCCTGTCTCAAATCACATTTTTGATGGGATTTTCGATAGGGCTTATTCTTGACGAAAGTAATTTTCGAGACTATCAGCAATTTTTGACTAAGAGCCAAGCCACTTTAGTTCGTCTCAGGTGGCATTTAGAGGCATATACATGTTATTGTGAGTGAAACTCCACCTGAAGCAACTAAATTTTTATTTAATAAGTACTGCTAACTTTGAGAACTACTCACATTTGCCCATTATGCTTCCCCACCTGAATGGCAAGTCCATGCCAATTAGTCAAAGATGTAAGATACGCGAAGACAAATGGATCATCCTCTCTTCTGTCTAACCGCAGACTCTCAATGCGTTTTAATGAATTATTTAAGATGGCTGTTTTGTAGAATCGCCTGTTTAAAGAAGGTCAGTTCGTCTGTGAAGGGGTACCTGCTTGCTCTCAGATCTCGTTGGAACAATGCTTTTATGAGTATAATTTTTAATCTGTTTGGGGGGTGGTAAATATACTATGTTAAATATGTGTTTCGGATGCATAACTAATACGTACATATATACACATGCATACATACATACATGCATACATACATACATACATACATACATACATACATACATACATACATAC